TCAGTATCTTTCCTCCTGTCACAGAGTGTATTATACAAGGGAAAAATATTAGATATTAGCTCATGGTTTTTTGACTACCTCCGCTACGGGTGGGGAGACAACAGAACCTATAGCTGGAATCTTCTACTTTTTTCCCTTGTATAATAAATAACTATTTATCTAGACGAAATTTCATTGACACCAATTGTGGCGAGAATAATATGTGCAATTACATTGCCATTGTGTTTTCAATTATTGCTGAAAAGCATGACCAAGGAACTGGATAAGACTATTCAAGTACTCATCAAGTAATAACCATAAAGAAAGAAATCTAATTAGTTTATTAATTTCAATTAATTTGTAAAAAATACCGTCTTGTTTTGCATGGCGAATGCACTATCTGACTCTTAACTAAATTATACTATCCGGTTCTTGACTGCTTTAACTAACAAAAAATTATACATCCCAATACAGTTTAATTGTGAACAAAATTAAACAGGGTGATTCAGGACAAACCTTGTTCCGGAGATTATACTTCGTGATATGAATTTGAAAATGAAAATAATATATTGCATTTTGGTTGCTACCAAACCGTTCAACAAAGAATTAGAATATTCTGGTTGATTACCAAATACCTAAAGGAGAATGGAATGATATTGTATATATCAGCCATGAGATGAGAAATCCATAGTTGTCGTTATGGTGCCAAAAATGTGTATTTCACTGAAATGATTGGTTGTGATACGAATTTTCTTACAAATGAACATAGAAAGAACGAAAGAGACAGTTTCGCACAAAAAAATGTTTCTTGTCAATTATTGCATCTATATCAGAATGAAGATGTAATTAGAAGAATGTCAGTTTTTCAATTAAGCATCGAAATACATGATAATATACTGAGGGCTCCAATTTAAAATGAAAAAATAAAGTGCTTTGGAATTTGAATAGTTTGTGTCACAACCCATTCCCAAGAACCGGCATAAGGACAACCCTTTCATGTTTGTCTTATTACTATAAATGCCTCTCACACTATATATTGAAGAATTCAGTGTTTCCAAAGAATCGAGCACATTCGATATATCAATCGATATAGTTTATTGTTATGAAGTTGTCAAACAACTATTCCTGGAATGAAAAGTATTCGCACTTCGTCGTTCAATAATACCAATCTGAGTATAATCTACAAACTCGTTAACATAACATCCAATGTTATATTGGCGCCCAACGTGGGGCCCTAACCCAAGACCCTGAGATTAAGAGTCTCATGCTCTACCTACTGAGTTTTTCATTTAATCACCAACACCCTGTGATGCTGAGGCCTTATTTAATGTATAAAGTACCCACAAACTCGTTAACATAACATCCAATGTTATATTGGCGCCCAACGTGGGGCCTAACCCACGACCCTGAGATTAAGAGTCTCATGCTCTCACGACTTGTTGAGTTGACCATCAAATTAACAACACCCTGTGATGCTTAGGCCTAATTCAATAAGTATGTGACTTCCATTATTCTGATAACTAGGCACTATCTCTATCGTAATAAATTTTTTCGACCAGTGGTGCGAAAGTGATGTTATAATGTTGATAGATTTTTTTTCGTGATTATCACGAATTTGATTTCAGTAAATTCTTCTGGAGTATGCATAGATATGTAACCACAAGAAGCAGTCAAATGGGCAACACAATATATGGCGTACCATTTGGAAAAAAAATCTTTATGACGTCAAACCTTCTTGGGAGACTCTGTTTAATCGACCCTGTATATATAATCTTTCCACAAATTTGTGAATAATTAGTGGAAAATGATTATGAAATAAGGAGGAAGTAACTTGTGACGTGTGTTCTAATTCGATGTTCATTAATTGCAACCAATAATCAGCACTCTAGTTCCTAATGAATTACCATCCATTGATTCATCACTATTGGTTTCGCTCGTGCATTTAATAGCAATGGGCTGCTACAGCTCATATTCTGCCCTTGTGCCACAAAATACTATTTCATTTCAAATTGATTATCACATCTTTCAGACGCCTAGTTTTCAAACATTTTCACTCTAGGCTCTAGTATAGATTATGACAAGAATACAAAATGATAGATTATCGTTATATTGGTTTCCAAAGATAAATCATCGTATTGTTCCACTACCAGAGTCATACTAGAGTATAGTCAAACTTCTTGTTGAGCCACCACTGCAATTTCTTAGGTGAGATATTGCATGGGTATCTGCAAGTACATCCATCATTGCGTGGAAAGTAGGTCCTGTTTTTTCGTCGAGCTTTCAATGAATGACTGAATAACACGGTTCAAGCATGTTCAAGAGATTGCTGCTCATTGTGATTATTTTGTGGTAGAATTGAGACCGCTTGACCTGTTCTTATTGCATGGTTCCAATTGAAAAATAATCATCTCATTTAGATTTGGCTTCCCAATGAAGCAGCGTTGCCATTTCGCAACACAAATCCCTTGTACATGATTTGATTAATAACCTGTACCTACGTGGTGATACAGTTCTTCAGGACAGAACTCATTCTTGAAATGGATCTTTGCATTCTACCCGCATATTTTGAGTCTTTCAGCTATACAGGGCGGTGCCAAAAGTTGGCAACAAATTTCCTACTCTAAATAGGAAACTAAATTTGTTTTCACACGGTTTGATTAGTCTTCGATTTCGAGTTGAAACAACCTAATTTATGTTAATCTATAGATATCCTTAATTATGTTTTCTGAGATTTTCATTCTCTAGGAAGTGCGATCTCTCTTATCATTTGCTTGAATCGATTTCCAAATTCAATAAAGATATTCCTAATAAACCTCAAAAATATTATCGTTCTTCTGTATATTCAACTGATCCAGAGTAGTATAATTTATTTTTTGGTTCATTAGTTCATAAATGTGTGGGAAAAAATCGATTTTTTACCCTCTTGATGGTTTTGTACACGATATTCCTCAATGATATCCCAATAATATCCGTGGAAAATATCTTATAAATCTGTGAACAATGTCTTCTAGACATCCCTGAGGTTGGATGAGTCGATATTATAATATATACATGGAATTGTTCATATTGTGAAATCTGACCTATTGCTATAACTATCCAAATAACCCCCTTGTTGAAAATTACTGGATAAATATCATTGAACAAACTGAATACTTTTCTGACTAATAGCACAGACTACTAAATTATATCGGCCAGATATTGAATCCATTTCAAAAAAATACTTCAAAATATACAATAACTATATACTTCAAATATCTAACAGGAATAGAAGTAATTTACGTAACAATTCCGAAAAATACGGTTTTTTCGGACAGGTAGACATCAATCTAGGCCGAGCCGATGTGATACTTCCCGGCCTAGTCCGGGAAGTATCACATCGCTACTTTCTCAAAGAAAAAGCATCCGGGAAGTGAGTTCTTCCCGGACGGTTGCCGAAATAATATTTTCCTGGCTAGTACCATAGATATCGAATTATATCTGTTAGTATCGAAAAATAATGTATCTGATTCGGAGAACATAATATATGCTCTATAACGTTCATTGAAGTATAGTTGTCTACACAGAAAAAAAATCGTTTGAAACTACAACATTTTTGTTAATTCAACAAAATCTGAGTGTCATATATCCACGACAAAATATTTTGTCCCACAACAGAAGTTTTTTGTTAGTTTTCAATTCAAAATTCATTTGATGTACCTAACTCATTAATGATTCAAATTAACAGCAGGAATTGGTTGAATAAACAAAGACTAATTTGTTCCTATAATACAACATCTGCTCTTATAAACAGATTCTGTTGATTGAAATGATCATATCATTTCATTCAAGTGACTAAAATTTCAGTTTTTCAGAGAATGAATATGTTGAAATAACAATATATATTCTTCGATCTACAAAATTCTATTTAGAATTGACAAAATATTTTGTTGAATAAATCCAATAACTGAATTTCAAAACTGAGAGAAATTAGAGATCAATTTGCTCAGTTGATTCAAGGCTTGTATATTATTATGCGTCATTAGAAATTCTAGGACAGCTTTATATAATTATTTGAACGGATGTTCTAGGTATGTATGTACACCCCAATTGTGGCGAGCGTAGGAAGGTTGGAAGAAACGCCACCTGGTGGCCAAATACAACTAGATATTCATTCAACAAAATATTTGTTTAATTTAATGTATCTGTATGTTCTGTTCAACAAAATAATCTGCATGAAATAACAACATATTTCTTGATAGTGATGTGTTGAATCAACAAAATATAATGTTATAATCAATTTAATTTTGTCTAACAGAGAGAATCCTTTGATTGGTTGCACAATGAAATGATTGTTGACTCAACAAAATATCATGTTGTATTCAGTTGAATATTTGTCAAAATTCATTTAATTTTGTAGAATAGACAAGATGCATATGGTTGATTGAACAATGAGACAAAAGTTGGATCAACAAAACTTGTTTTATGTCAACTATAAATGTTGTTGAATGAAATGAAACTTTTGTTCAAGTGAGCAAATATTTCAATCAAATTATTTTGTCTCTTCGAATAGGTCGCTTATTTGGAATGAACATATATTTTGTTGATTTCGCAAAATCGTGTTTAATTTAACACAAAAAAAATCACCAAACCTATTTTGTTAGTGCAACAAAACTTTTTTTCCGTGTATTTTTCATTTTCTATTGGATCAATTGAAATTGAATTGATGATAATATGTTTCATGGAAATATGAAACAAATTCATATTGATACAACCAAGAAATTAGTTGTAAACTGTAACATATCTGAAGAACGATGTTCGTACGTTTTTTTTTTAATATTTTTCTAAATTAAGTAGGTATATAGTTTCAATATTTGATAGATATTTCAGGTAATTGAATATTCTGTGAGATTAGCCAGGAAAGTAGTTGTTATGGTTTAGATATTTCAATAATGATACTCTCATTCTTCGAAAAAAAAAATTGAAAAAAAAAGAAAAAAAAAAAGAAAAAAAAAGAGGAAAAAGAAAAAAGAAAAAATACTTACATAGTTTATAAGTGGCCAAGACCAACAGTGTTGCCTTGACCAGTGCACAAATCCTGAAGATGATTCGTTTCAGGAACATAAAGCTTCCCTAACCACCCACATCAAAAAAGAAGTCCACCAACTATTTTGTGCCGAAACTTAACTGAAAATGAGGCTTTGTCGGTACCCAAATGGTACCTGTTGTTGAAATCGCTAAATGCCCCCACAGTGTGTTTCAATCTCGATTGGCCTTCTTCTCAGTCGTACCAGAAGAGATGGTACCATTTACCATTACTGGCGGTACTTGATGTCCGACGTGAGAATTTCTCTTGGAACCAGTGGCGTTCAGAGGATTTTCGATGGATCGATGAGTTTACCTTTCTCCAAGAAAATTTGGGAAGGTGACTACACAGAAAAAAATGTTTGTTTGAAACTACAACATTTTTGTGAATTCAACAAAATCTGAGTGTCATATATCCACGACAAAATATTTCATCACCGCAACAAATGTTTTTTGTCAGTTTTCAATTCAAAATTAATTTGATGTAACTCATTAATGATTCGAATTAACAGCAGGAATTGGTTGAATAAACAAAGACTATTTTGTTCCTCTAATACAATATCTGCTCTCATGAACGATTCAAGTGACAACATTTTCAGTTTTTCAGAGAGTGAATATGTTAAAATAACAATATATATTCTTCGATCAAGCAAATTGTATTTTGAAATAACAAAATATTTTGCTGAATAATATTTAAAAAATCCAATAACTGAATTTCAAAGCTAAGAGAAATTAGAGATCAATATATTGATTCAAGACTATCAGCTTGTATAAGCGTCATAAGAAATCCTAGGACAGTCACATATAATTATATAAATGGATGTTTTAGGTAGGTATATGTACACCCCAATCGAGGCAAGCGTAGGAAGGTTGAAAGAAACGCCACCTGGTGGCAAAAATGCAACTAGATAATCATTCAACAAAATATTTGTTTGATTTAATGTTCTTATGGGTTCTGTTCAACAAAGTAATTTGTTTGAAATAAATTATTTTGTCTCTTTGACTAGTTTGCTTATTTGGAATGAACATATATTTTGTTGATTTCGCAAAATTGTGTTTAATTTAACAAAAAGAAAATGACCAAAATTATTTTGTTGGTGCAACAAAACTTTTTTTTCCGTGTATTGATCTCAAGATAAGTTTCTTCGGCAACCGTCCGGGAAGTCCAGATGCTTTTTCTTTGAGAAAGTATCATTTTTCTGACCTAGTCCGAGAAATACGTACTTCCCAGACTAGGCCGGAAAGCATCACATGGTTGTTGTCACTGTAACTATGAAAATCTTGGTAGATATGGTTTTGATAAATGCATCACGGAAAAAAAAAGTTTTGTCGCACCAACAAAATAATTTTGGTCATTTTTTCTTTGTTAAATTGAACACAATTTTGCGAAATAAACAAAATATATGTTGAATCCAAATAAGCAACCTATTCAAAGAGACAAAATGCTCTGTTTGGAATATTTGCTTACTTGGACAAAAGTTTCATTTTATTCAACAACATTCATAGTTGACAAAACAAATTTTGTTGATCCAACTATCATCTCATTGTTCAATCAATCATATGCATTTTGTCTATTCTTCAAAATTACATTAATATTGACAAATACTTAACTGAATACAACATCATATTTTGTTGAGTCAACAATCATTTCATTGTGCAACCAATCGAATGTTCTTTTTTAATCGAAAAAATTGAATTGATTACGACAACATTATATTTTGTTGATTCAACACATCACTATCAAGAAATATGTAGTTATTTCAAACAAATTACTTTGTTGAACAGAACCCACAAATACATTATATCAAACAAATATTTTGTTGAATGATTATCTAGTTGCAGTTTTGCCATTAGGTGGCGTTTCTTCCAACCTTCCTACGCTCGCCTCGATTGGGGTGTACATATACCTACCTAAAACATCCGTTTATAAGTTTAAATAATTATATCAGGCTGTCCTAGACTTTTTTATGGCGCTTATACAAGCTGATAGTCTTGGATCAACTGAGGAAATTGATCCCTAATTTCTCTTTGTTTTGAAATGCAGTTATTGGATTTTTTTTATATTATTCAGCAAAATATTTTGTCATTTCTGAATACAATTTGGTTGATCGAAGAAAATATATTGTTATTCTAACATATTCACTCTCTGAAAAACTGAGAATTTTGTCACTTGAATGAAATGATATAATCATTTCAATCAACTGAATCTTTCATAGGAGCAGGATATTGTATTATGGGAACAAAATAATCTATGTTTATTCAACCAATTCCTGCTGTTAATTTGAATCATTAATGAGTTACATCAAATGAATTTTGAATTGAAAACTGACAAGAAACATTTGTTGCGGTGACAAAATATTTTGTCGTGGATATATGACACTCAGATTTTGTTGAATTTACAAAAATTTTGTAGTTTCAAACACATTTTTTTTTCTGTACAGATGATAATTACCATAGCAGCAAAATATCAGCTGACAGCTATTTGACATGAAATTATTCAACGATTTGATTTTTGAAAGTTTGGTTGCAATTATCACAATAAACTATCGAAAGCAGCTGCGATAATGAGTTTTTTCATCTCTCTTTTATTTTATTGAGACCAGGGAAGGTCCCTCTTATCCTGATATCTATTATGGAACAAAATAAAAACGGTATTGAAGTTTGATGCGAACAGCCATTCTCCCCCAAATAAGTTTCAGAAATACATTCTGACAATTGAAAGAGATCGAACGGAATAAATGAATATCAAAAACTTGAGAATAGCAAATTTGGTCATAATGTCGATATTTTCTCTAGTTTATGGACAATCTCGGTCTTTTGAACTTTGATTGATCACCTGGGTCATAATCAACTGCATTTCGAAGAAGCTGATCCTCATGAACCTCAGCTCAGAACCTCAGAACAAGCTAGCGGGGTCAGGTAAAATTCTTTTACTACTATTCGGCATGAAAATGGTTGTGGTCACGTGACCTAGTGTCAAGTGAGCACCATCAACTTTATTTTTTCGAATATAAAGAGGGGTCACGTGGTACCTTGTTTTGAAGGCCTTTCGATTCTCTAACTAACACCGCTTCGTTTGTACAAATCGGCCAAGTCGTTTCAAAATGGCAAGCGTTTGAAATGTACCTCGGAAACAGAGTAAATCACATTCGGATTGAATTCCAAATCAGATTTTTTCGTGTTAATAAGTGAACGATGTACATTTCGAGCATGTTTGAGCACTCGTTACATTTCGTCCAATGGTGTTATTTTTTGAAGTACCACAGCAGATTTTATCAAACATTCAGGATCGGATTATAGTACAAGACCGCAAAGCCATGGCTTGTAGCGCTAAATCCAGATACTTTTGAAAAAATTAATTGAATCAGAAATCAAATTATAAGTTTCCTTATGTGGGTACTTTATACTATGATACTTATCTTATAACAATACAACATATTTTCGAAATCGCACTGATTGCGAAAAATTATCCGAAGTAGCAACTCTATAACATCCCCCGTAGTTCTCCTCCGAAAAGTCATTACGCCTAGATGGCAACATTTGGCAACGCTACGCTATATCAGCGGCATGTTTAAGTTCGAGACATCTATTCTATTTTTTTTTTCCTGTTTTCGTCATGAGCAGCTTGAATAAAATAATTGGTGCTGCTGAAAATAAAAAAAGGTAGTGATAAGGCAGAACAACATGATCAAAGCAACTGTTCAGGAGAAATATTTTTCTCGATACTCAATAGAATTTAAAATTATTTAAGGTCGAAGTCATTGGATTCCAAACTGAGCGACAATAGAATCAGACCTGCTCAAAAATTCAGAAGTAACCCAGCGAGCACAAACATCCCTGGGATGTTTTGGGATGTTTTGAAAATGTTGGCATGAAGATGTTATTTTGAGACGTAATATGCACTGACCGAAGAGGTCTTTGAAGGATATTGAAGTTTTTTTTTTGTTCTTCCGTGGCATTTCTTTGTTTGCCTACTGAGAGGTATCCCTGGGATGTTTTGGATGTATTAGAAATGTAGGAATGAGGATGTTTTTTTGAGGCGTAATATGCACTTCCCAAAGAGGTCTTAGGAGGATATTGAAAGTATTGTTTTTGTTCTTTTGTGCCCTTTCTTTGTTTGCCCCACCACAACGTCTCATGCTTACGTCACAATACGATGAATTCTGATTTGTTTTCGATTTTGTTCTTCTTGTTCGCAATTGGCCTTCGCGTTTGCAGCGTGTCACGCTTACATCACGCTGCTAACGAACAGAAAGGAATTTGCTGAAGTTTATTGTGTTAGGAGACTTATTTAGTTTGTAATAATGACCATCAGATGCAAGATGTGTTGTTCGGTGCTTCAGTGTTATCAATATATAAAAGTACGAATTTATCAATACACAGCTTCTCCGCAGTTGCAAAATTATGCATTGTGGAGAACATTTCAAAAATTGGGAAACCCATTTCCAATTATATGTCTGTGTGTAGTAAGCACTACTCAGAAACCGATTAAGAAGGTAATTTCATATCGAGAAAATATTTTTATGTTCAATCTATTTTTAATGCATTTTTTCATTCAAGGGAAATGGAATCCTAATGCAAAAGTTCATTTTGACAAGAGGCTTCAGAAAAGTACCTCGAAAATGGTTTTTTACAGCGATTTAATGTGCGCAAGACGCGTTGAAAATGTTTTGTTGTGTCCATGAAAAGGCTTTAAAAAGAACTAGGGAGAAGGTAGTTTTGTGACATATCAAGGACATCTCGATAATTGCCGCCTGCGGCGGACATTGGCTGTTCTATAATAGTTCTATTCATGTGTGAACAGAACATCGCAGTGGAGGTTCGATGTCTCGAAATCTCGTACTTTTAACATCTCTGAGATGTTTTTGTGCACGCTGGGAATAATTAGTAGGTAGTCTTAAGGAAAATATTTTTGTTAATGTTGTTCAACAATTTGTTAGTGTCTGATTCAATTTTTAATAAAATAACACTGTCGCCAGTTTCGTGTGTCTAATATATAAACTGGGGCTTTTGAATTTTAACGGAAGGTATCTATTTCTTTGATTGATGCAATATTAACGGTCCTTTCTAGATACCCTCTATCCAACTAGATGGGTACGACCATGTGAATTCTTAGCTTTTATGTGTGCCAAGTTGTCTTGGTACTTTCCCAAGAAGTGTTACCTTCCTCAAAGGTGATTAGACGTACGT